ATCGATTGTTATGCCGTTTAAACCTATGGTAAAGAATCGATTTTTAAGGTGTTCGCTGCGAACACCCTGTTTATCGATCCTTTTCCATAGGTTTAAATGACATAACAATCGATACATCGCAAAGCACGCCACGCCACTGTTTAACTCTGTTTTACAAAATTTAGAGCACACAATAGCTCCATGTAATGCTAGATAACCCTTTTTCCACCCAGCCATTCAGTCGGAAAAAAATTGCGTCGAGTCTCAGAATAACCGAGCATTTTTACTCGATCTCTGCTTGAATGATTAGACATTTAATTTTCTGCCATGTCGAGAAAAACGTCGTACTGGTATTCAGATGTTGCCAAGTTTTACCCAATAAAATATTTCTTTTCGGGGGAAAAGTATAATTACTTTCCTTGAAAGGATAAAACACTTTTAATAATTCATTGAAGATGTTATACCTTTTCTGTTTTCTGATCTCCTCTCCTGGTTCTTATATTTTACTACGAAATAGAAAGTTCCATAGAATAAAAAACCAGGATATCAGGAAACAGAAAAAATATAGAATTTACCTTCTCTGTACGAATTATTTTCAAATAATTATTACATACGAATCTTGATAAAAATGAAAAAAGCTATAACAAAATAATAAAACACTATGACTCTCCTTGAAATTTACAAGCGCAGTATAGATATGATAAATTTCGAGTAAAAATCGCGAAAAGTTCACGATAAATTATTCGAACGTTATCTGGAAAATGTGGATTTTATAGGGAGAAATTTGGCAATGCTCAAATTTAGATACGGCATTTTTTCCTTAACTCGGCAGTATGAGAAGAAGGATCGAACTTAGACAAAGACAAAGAATAACTTTCAGTAAACGAGAGAAGGAGAAACGTGGTGGCGAGTAACGGTAAAAAAACGAAAAGAACGTTTTGAACCCTCACAAAAAAGGTTAAGAGGTGAACTTTTGTCTATAATCGTTGTTTTATCTCATCTCGTGCTGCCCAAGGTTCAAACCGGGAATTTCCCGTGCAGCCAGCCAGCAGTCCATCCGATGAGCATGACCGCTTTGCTAATCAAAAACCGCGCAACGTCCGATGGGAATCCTATTTACATGTGCGGTTTTACTCGAAATGATCGTGTTGAGTGAGTACGGCTTCAATTACTGCAAAAAACCCGTCCTCAAAGTCAAAGCCAAGATGGAAACCCTCGCTGTAAAATTCCGTTTGGGCGCATTGAGCAGCTGACATCCGATAAGTGGCTGCGAAAAAATTCCGACGATTAATTAGAGAGCTATTAATTAGAGAGTGTTAAAGGATGTGTATGAGTGAAAAGTTCAATATCAGGACCGCGAATTTTTCGCGACTTTCGTTTTTATTATCGCGAGCGTGCGCATATTGGGTGGCGGTTTTAGTGGGGAGAAATGAACGGTTTCAGGAGACCTGCGGGCTGATTATTGACATTCATAGATAAAGCTATAGACAAAGAAGACATAAGGGGTATATAGCGATCCTATTGGTTGAAATTGATGGTTCTTATAGACTAAGGAGGTAGATGATGGACTAACTATCGGGTCTCTCGTGGGTTACGGTTAGTTAGTCTATTACCCACGCTCTTTGTCCATTGCGACTACCCGCTTCCACGAATAGGATCCCTCCATATATTTTTTGTCCTCTTTGTCTATTGCTTTGTCAATCGATTTCAATAATCAGCCCGCTGAGTTCTTATCCCTCAGCTCGTATCCCTCAGCTCGTATCTGATACGATTTTTCGCATCAGTACATGGTTCACGATCGAGCAGCGAACTGGGCGATGATCGGTTTGAGATGCAGGTATCAATATCTTCTCGTGATCGATGTACGATTTAATACCGAATGACCCGATTTTTGATTAAGGTGATTCAATGGACGCCATAGTTTGTGTCAGAACGGCATGCGATATATCGCATCAACTGGTTCCATTTTTTCAGCTATTCGTCATTTTCCTCCAATTTTGAGATCGCAATTCTGTTGTCAGGAGACTAAAGCACTCACTTACCAATTTTAACAAAGAAATTCAACGTAATAAAGGCGTGGTTTTTTCAGAGAGAAAACATCGCATTCGATACTGATATCGAAACTGCACTCGAATGCGATATTTTCTCTCTAAAAAGACACGCCTTTATTACGTTACATTTCTTTGTTAAAATTGGTAAGTGAGTGTTTCAGTCTCCTGACAACAGAATTGCGATCTCAAAATTAGAGAAAAATAACGAGTAGCTGAAAAAATGGAACCAATTGATGCGATATATCGCATGCCGTTCTGACACAAAATATGGCGTCCATCGAATCACCGTAAGTGTGTGTTGCCCTTCCAACTTGTGGGTTATGCAACAGCGTTACCAGACGATGCAAATAAATACATGATTTAATTATTGGTAAAACTTGGCAACATCGGATAAATTAACGAATTCCGGATTTAGGATACTCTGGAAACAGTAGACCATCTCCTCCAGGACGTGTCTGGTATCGGAGACTGGAGAGTATAGGGTCTGATTCGGGAATTTAATTTTTGGTGGCTGGGTGGTGTGTATCAGAGTGGGTACTTTGGAAGAAGAAACTGGGTTTGGTTATTGTAATGTTCAGTTTGATGAATCAAAAAAACATTTAATTTTTTTTTTTTTTAAGTTTTTGTTACCGTTTACAAACGTCCATGTTTCAAAACATCCATGTTTCAATCCATGTTTCAAAACACCCACGTTTAAAACCATTCATGCATGTTTAAAAATGTCCATGTTTAAAAATCGTCAGGGTTGTCAACAACAAACATCGATCTCCGAACTTTGAATCGACACTTATGTCATCGACTTTCCGATTGATTTTCTCACGGGACATCCTGGTGAAATTAAAGAAAACATAAAAAATTAAAGCCACTAGGGCGTATCCAAGCACCATTATTTCCAAAAGGACCGAGCTAGTGCTGCGGTTTACACGAGCCTAAGACGTGGGTCTGCAAATCCATCCTAAAAAGAATCAGACAAGAAACTGAAAAAAGAAGAAAGGACGAGTATCAACGCAGCTGAAGACAGGAAAGACGTATTCGGACCTCCTTTTTAATTTTTCTCCCAAATCTGAGTAACACCTCACTGACAGTATATAGATCGTATTCGATACATCAAACGGGTGAGATTGTATCGATATCGATTGGTTCAAAACATAAACATAGCCTCAAAAGTAAATTCAGAAATCTGAGAGAACGGATCTTTTGAAACAGATTTTTATTCTTTTGAGTACCAAATGCCAATGCAAAGTGAAATTGTCAGGAAATTTCTCATTTTCAGCTTTTCCAATTAATATCCTTAGAGTTTGGTTTGAGATTATGTTCTATTGTTTTGAACCAAACGATACATCGAACCGCTATCGAATACGGTCTATAGCAGGGCATTGAGAGCTCACGCTTCGCGTCACCGCGCCTTCAAATTTTTCATATGCAGCACGAACGTCCATCGAGTACGAATAGTTGTATGTTTGCGCCGTCGTTAACGCTCATCCTTTCCCTCACTCTATTTCCATATTATGTTTGTTTGCGTTTGTCTAATTCGTAATGGTGCTTCAAGCACTACGTGAGTAACATAGCCGAAGGTAGGAGGGGTGTGTTCGTGCCTCTTTTTTAACTTTTCTCCCGAATCTGAGCGACACCTCATTAACAGCATAATAGCAGAGCATTGGGAGCTCACGCTTCGCGTCAACGCGCCTTCAATTTTTCAGATACAGCACGGACGTCCATCAAGTACGAATAGTTGTATGTTTGCGCTGTCGTTAACGCTCATCCTTTCCCTCACTTTATTTCCATACTGTGTTCGTATGCGTTTGTCTAATTCGTAATGGTGCTCTAAACTAGTAGCATATAGCAGAGCTTTGCGAGCTCACAACTCACGCCATCACGTCTTACATTTTTCATATGCAATGTGGATATCCATCTTGCGCGAATAGTTGTATCGCGTTTACTCTTTAGACGTCTCTTATTTTTGAATTTCGCGGTAAATAAAGGTTAAGTTTGCCCGAGATATGCTATGGTTTGTCCAAATCAATAGTCATAGGAATATGTTTAAAGGCCAGGCAATCCACCACACCAGGCAATCTCGTGGCTTCTCGTATGAAAATTAAGTTACCTGGAAGCTTGATGAAGTGAATAAAGAGTCATAAAATGCCCTCACTATTGCCACATCTCTCCACATGAGTTTATGGATATTTTATTGTGCTCAAGTTTCCATTTCTACCCTACTGAACAGAGATGAACAATCACAGAAATAGTTCTTACTTAAGGAATAACGTGTCGAGGTCGACGGTGAAACTACGAAACCACGTTTCCCGTTTCCGATGTTCTAAAATCCTGTCGAGTTCGAGTTAAAGGAGAAGAAATCAACACAATTCTTTGAAGTTTACAGAATTTTTCTCGCACAGAGAAGAAAACTCACGGCACATTTTAAGAATTGCCATTCGGTAGTTCTCCATTAAAAAAATCAAATATATCAGGAAGTCTGCAAGGGCGCTATCGAGATACGTTGGATTTGTAACTTCACCATCGAAATGCAAATTGTAGATTTTTACTGGAAAACTGTTAGAAGTTTCCAACTAACATTTCCACGGGGGAGCGGGAATAGTAGTTATTTATTCGAAGAACAGAAGGAATAGACGCTATTATTTTGTTGAGGTTCACTGCTACGTGAAGATTCCTCATCTGGTCGATTTGAATTTTAATACAAAATAACAAAAAAAATGTCTTTCTTATGAATGTCTATTCAATGCTACTACTGCGAACATAAATCGATATTTATATCGCTTTTTTAGAAGTAACACTAATAGCGTCCAGGGATCATGTGTACATATTTACAGATAACGTCCACCTAAAATTCGCCTTCAATACGCCGCATAGGCAACAAGCGTACCCTAGTACTAAGGAGCGCAAATACTTTATCAATATACGGCAATTTGGCAACTTCGGTAGCGCTCCCTGAAAGTTTCTAACCTCAAAAAATCCATTCGGTCAATGAAATATTGTCTCTGGAAATAACAAGCCTTGATAACAAGCCCTCATGGTGTGATAAATGATGTAAACATACGCGGTGAAAGTGATTATTACCCAAAGTTTGAAATTGAGTGTTTAGGTTTTGTGTTAATTTGAAATGCGGACTTTTTTTACCCATATAAGTTATCTATTTTCCTCTCTTACATCTGTACCCACTAAGCATGAGTTCACCACCTTTCCAGATTCAAAAGTTTGAAAATTGTGTCAAGAAATTAAGCTCTATAGTCAATTTTCGGAGCAAAGGTGATGGCTTAATTATCAGTGAAATTTTAGATGAGCTAAATTCGTTAGACTTTAACATCATCTCCGTCAAGCCTGAGGTAAGCTACAGAAATTGACTAGTCTCACCTATGTAGTTTCTGGCAAGCGCACTCAAGCTGCTTGGCAAGGTTTAGTCATTTACCTTGTTTGCAACATCTTATTTCAGCCAAGTAAAACTCCAGAGTCCTTTGCTGATGGGGAAATCTCTGTTAGAACATTGAAAAGCAATTTGCCGATACACTAAAATATTCTTATGTCATCAATAAAAATTTTACTGATAAAGTAGGTGTGACGCCCAAACCACATATCTCATTTGCAGTGAAAAATCTCTGCTCCTATTTTATTTTTTCAAGGAGAACAAATGAGCATCATTCTTTGCAGTTTCAATTGACATCGCCAAGAGAAGAACAATGACGGTAGTTTTTAAGAAATGATGTTAAGTAGTTCTTTGTTTATGAACTTGAGTATAAGAGGACATCTACAACATTTCAATCCTAGGTAATATGTGGTTTGGAAGTTTCACCATCGATTCGATCGACCAGTCTTCTCTATGATTCTACTATTTTTCCTCTTCCTCTTTTTTAGAAAGCGGCTCTGAGTATTCACCACCTTTGTTCACTGGTATCATCGTCCGATGAAGCTTTGGCGGCTAAATGCTGTCAGTTAATTGTCAGTTATGTTCTCAAACAGAATGTACAAATTGGGGGCAGCATATTGAGTTTGTCAGTGCACTGGTGTCTGGAGGCAATCAAGTATGCTGAAACGTTCCCCGCCTTGTGCAATCTCTTGCAAGGACTTGAAGCTTTACTCCGTTCCAATAACTTGAACGACCTGGATGTAAGTAATTGTTTTTTCTTTTCGAACCAATTTTTAAATTGTCTACATCATATTGTTTGGCCAGGCTTCAGTCAATTCAACAAATTTTGAGGTCACGAAGTATATGAATGTCATTGCTCTTTATCATAATACTTATGTGAGATGTGCTTGATTCCTTTTACTTTGATCAGTTAATATTAAATTTGTTTTAATTTCAGTCTGTTCCAAATCTTGTTGAATATCTTCTCCAGCCCCTTGATACCAATGTTAAACTCTCAAACTCGACAGAGGTAAGGCTTTTCCAGCTGAAATGCCTGCAAAATTTATCATCACATCTGAGTCCTCAGCAAGCAGATTTAGTTTTAGCTCATGTGTCGGAGTTTATGCAAAACACTCAGATCACTTCCAATGATGATTTTTATCTTTCAGAGGTGAGTATTAGATAGCTACATATTCTTCAAAATATTGTATTGGTTTTTTTAACAAAATTTTTTCGGCCAATAATAAGTACGAACACAGAGCTGCTCTTCATTGTTCTACCCCAGTGTCAACAAATTTTTCATTAGGTATCTGTCCAGCCAAATAGTTACAATGAATTAATCGATATATTTAGAAAATTGGACAGTAAGCTGAACAAACATTGAACCAGCATTGAATTATATATCTTTCATATCGACGGTGAAACTACCAAACCACGTACCTCGTTTGCGGTGTTTAAAAATCTACACTCGCATTTTATTTTTTTGAAGTAGACCAAATCAATATCATCCCTTGAAATTTTCACAGAATTCTTTCCGCACGAAGAGGAAAAATCACAGAAATTTTCAAGACTGGACGTTAAGTAGTTTTTTATTTAAAAAATAAAGAATGACAGGAAGTCTGCGACGTCGCAAACCGAGATACGTGATTTGGTAGTTTCACCGTCGATATGTGGAGTATTATTTATCAACAAAGTTGTGGCATAGCAAGAATATAAAGTACCAAATATAAATGTTTATGAAGAGAAGATAGAGTACATAGACGTGTGATGTAAGTGGGAGAGCTGGTGCCACTTTTAAGCATTTTGCAGATCCCCCGAGGCTCCCGTGTGACGTCATGTCACTTCTTCGATACCTGATCGATTGTTTTTGATACATGGGGACTCGGTTATCCGATGTAAACAAAGAAGCTAGGAATTACTACATATGCCACACCCCCATTTTGGATCGAAAATGTGATCGGAGCTCGGGGCCTACCAGGCTCGGAACTCATTGACCAGAACATGGCGCACGCTCGCCTACTTATTGGAGGAGAAGGAACACCATGTGGAAGAATTTAAAATTGAATAGAAGAAATTAATGCTTAAAGGAGTGTTTTACAAACATTTTGGAATAAAAAACACCCAAAAACGTGAAAGAAAAATTGTTTTAATATGATTACATGTTCACAGTTTTAAAAAAAAACGTTTCTTTAAACTTTTAATCTCCCGTGGCTAGTACTCAAAATTTTCAATTAAATCGGATCTTTTCGTCATTTATCAACACTGAAATAGACTGAGCTGCTCACAACTCATTATTTGGGTCATTTACTAAAGATGTTTTCCATCAAAAACTCAAATTCTGCATTTTAGACCCAGCTTGACAAAAATTACTCCTTTCCGAACGCTAAGGCATCTTTTCTTTCGAATCAGATTTCAATCAGTAACAACTAAGTGTCAAAAACAGAATTTAACTTTGCATAATCCCCTCATTGCCAATTGAATTGAATTATAAATGTATTTGCAGGTTTTTTTATCTGGACTGGAGTTAATGAGACAGCTTTGTTCCGATGAATGGTTGAGCTCAAATCTAGGTCGAGTTCTTGGTGTGTGTATCTGCTTTGCTTCATATGGGCTGCCAAACGTTGAATTCCATCATCCGTCCACCTTATATCCCTCACCAGGATATCAATATCAGCCACCTGCAGAGAAATCAGCAAACAAGAAAGTACTTAATTATTATTTTCAATTAAATGAAATGATATATTATTATATTTGTGAGTAGCACAGTAATAATGAACTTGCTTTCTAAAAGTGAATTTGATCAGCCGTGCCAAATTGCAGTCACCTACTCGCACACGTTTA